TGCATATTTAAACACAACTTTAAACCAGACATTTGGAGTTTTATAAGGACCTGGTGATTAAGACATGGAAACATTTATTTATTTAGATGTAAATAAATTGGTTTAAAAAGAGGCCAAACACGTTTACTAAGACCTATTAACTCTTTTTATTTGTTACAATCTGCTTTTCGTATGCCACAGAAGACATTTGCTTCATTCTTTGTTTTTATCCTTACTTTTGGAAACAACATTGAACCCTTGGAATTTTCATATTTGAGGATTTCTTCTGGAAGATCAACTCTTTTGCTGCTTTAATTGAAGACGACTTAAGCAATGAAAAAGTACGTAACTGTTGATGAAGACACCTTTTATTTTACCAACTGACAGCCAGAAAATGAAGAATCCACATGGTGAGTATGAAAAGGGAAATGTTGCTGATGGCAGTTTCAAAGAAACAGAAGACTGAAACTGTATAATAGTAATACGTTAAGTTCACATTTAAATCATAGATAATCTGTATGCAAAAAAAAATGTCATGGCCTTGTTCAGCTGAATATTAAAAGTTTTAATCCCCTGGTGTGGAACCGATTTTGTGTTAAGTGTGGAAAGTGCTTCTAAAACCAAATGTTTCTTGAGACAGACGAAAACTGCTTTTGTTGGCTGTAATACAAAGTAAATGTTAAATTACAAATAATCACCTTTACTGTCATTGTTTTTCAAAAACCAGATTTGAGCAGCTACTCCTTGACCAGGTTATTTGATAAGGAAAATACAATAATGTAGTACTGAAAACATATTTACTATCTAACATAAGGAATGCACAAATGAACCAAGCTTTTTAAAACCACATTAATCATGGAGACTTAAGTCGATGTTATTAAAGTGTCTGTGGCATATATTTTATCCAGTGTAATGTTTCTTAAATTCCGCTGGTACATCACTCTCCAATTTGCAGATCACCTTGTAGATTGCTTTCTTCCAGGATGGATCATAATCTCTTCCCAGTGAAATAGCTATGTAAAACTCTCTCAGTGTAATCTCAGCCACTTCCAGAAACCTCTCTGGGACCTGGGAATCAATAGAAGATTAAGGGATAAATTAGACATTCTGACTTGTAATTTGATCTCTTATTTGTGTTTTTGGAATATGAAAGTAGACTTGATTTGTTTTACTTTATAAATATTTTCTGGTCCTGAAAATCCAGGTAAGTAACAAAGGTAAACTGGAAGCAGTACGGAGCGGGCCACTCCACCTGTCAGCCCACCGGGAATTGTCTTATGCTCCTTATGGCCAGTTCGCCACTGCTCTAGGGTCTCTAGAAACAGTGGTCTGTCACTCACTGTTAAAGACTCTTGGCTCATTTTTCTAATTAGGAATGTGGGTAGAGTAGGATTTGGGTGGGGGTAACCAAGGGGCAAACCCCACCTGCCAAAAGTGAAGCCAACACGGAAGTGACAAAATTTTAGATGTAATTAAAGCTTGAAATAATTAATACTTCGGGCGTGTCTTTGACCGGTGGCCTCAGTGCATCTACTGAGAAAGGTGCTTACCCAATGAAAAAACATATTTTATTATGCTTTTTCACTAAATCAGACAAATGTAAGGCATGATGATTCAAATATAAAATACAATTAAACAAAATAATTTCAAATATAAAATCCCTACATTTAGCCCTGCTGAAAAATCCAGCATATGTTGTGTTTTGGTTGTTGGTATACTGATGCTAGCGCAGCAGTACCTCAACAGGTTGAGCGAATTGTCCAGTAATCGGAAGGTTGCAGGTTTGATCCTGGCTCTGGACAGAGAATTCTGCTGTTGTGTCCTTGGGCAAGACACTTAACCCGCCTTGCCTGCTGGTGGTGGTCAGAGGGACCGGTGGCGCCAGTGCTCGGCAGCCGCGCCTCTGTCAGTGCGCCCCAGGGCAGCTGTGGCTACATTGTAGCTCATCCCCACCAGCATGTGTGTGAATGGATGAATGAAACACACTAGTGTAAAGCGCTTTGGAGTCCTTTGACTGAAAGGTGCTATACAAGTGTGGGGGTTATTTATCATTCATTTATCCAGCACGGTATGCTGTTAAATGGATACTGGTCCAGGACGGGATGCTGGTCCAAAATCCAAAAAACTGCATATCATGCTAGACTAGAGTTGCAACCTGGACCAGCATCCACAACAGAACATATGAAGGATTTTTCAACAGGGAGGCTAGAAAAGTCAATAGTTATCCCATGTAATCTGTTTTCACTAATACACTGGTTGTCGCAGCCATAGGCTGCACAAAAACGGGCATAGTTGTTCACTCTGCGTCAACTCCACTTGGGTTTGGAGTGGAAACCCATCCAATACCATGGCAACACCTATACTCACTCCAGCACTCAATGGGGCATATACATATTCATGGCTCTAGCAGCTTTCCCCCATTCTTGCAGGAAAGGCCTCAGCTGCATGTTAAGGGTTGCAAGCCAGAGGGTTGCAGAGTCGCTTAATCTCTTTTCTGGCTAAATGCGCCCACCAACCTCCATTAGCTTTGGTTAGCTTGTGGCTACATCGGCTCAGCGATGAGTGTCAATCATCTGCCCTCACCCTCACAGCTCTGCTCTCAGTCCCATTTTTGTATTATTTGGGAAGCCCTTTTTACAAGACACGTCGTGCCGGCAAATCGGCGTAATATTACCACAATGGTGTGTCTTATAAACGTGCTATGCCGGCATGGCGTTGCACGAATTTTGCAGCATTCTTTTCACCTCGCTTGGTAGTAAAATTGTGGTAATGGTCATGATGATGTGAGGAGTTAATGCCAAGCTTCGGCTGGCAAATATATTGAAAATGAATGTAAACACGGGCAATAAGTTTTGCTTTTTGAACAAAATCAGCTGAGATGGCAAACTGGAGCGCCTTTGTGCTCCTTGAGCATCTCAGTTAGAGCTGAAGCTCAGAACATCACACTGATGAGGTCAGACACCCTTAGAAGTGGCTTGTTAAAAAAGCTTAAACATCACTGCTTCAGTCACAATAAAAGCAAGTTATGTCCAAGATTAACGGAAGTCCGTGGCAGCGCAGAGACCGCCCCATACCCCCTTTATGTTGCCATCACCTAATCTTTTATAAAAAGTACTTGATTGTGCCACATTACCGCCACGGTCTGACCACTTTTAAGTGTCTAAGAGTCCCTGATGCTGCCACGGCGTTAATGCAAATTGACGGAAGGTTTCAATCAATCAAAGCTTCATTTATAAAGCGCCATCCGCAACCTTGTCGGAGAGCCCAAGAAGCTGAACACAGTACATGAGGAAAACGGGTAAAAACATTAAAGTAGAAAACAAATGAGTAAAACAAGTTAAAGACCAATGAAAGCAGGAAATTAAAATCAACATAAATGAAGGCCTAACTCAAACACATTCAGGGAATGCCAAGCGGAGGAGGTGGGTTTTTAGGCGACTTCAGGACCAAAGTGTTAAAATTAACACAAAATTAATTAAGACTCAAAGTGTTGTGAGTAGTGATCAATGTTAGATGGATCTGGGTTAAAGGACTCTAACCTTACAGACATACAGTCCACGAACTTTGCAACAGTTTCTGCATCCAGATACAGTCTGCCACAAGATCATAGAAATCATTTAGGAAGTTAGAGCCAGTCTTTGGAGGCCGATAAATCAGCACGACGAGCAGGCGGGGGGAGATGCACACAGGATTGACACGTCGTGGCCAAGGTAGTGGTGGGAACTGCCCACTGTGCTTTCTTTAAATTCAGCTCTTCATAAACCATTGGGTTTGTCCATCTTATCAATACAGTTGAGGGTAACTGATACTGTAAGTAGCAGAAACTCATTCTAGGTAACAGCTTTCCTCCCATTAAGAACTTTTTCCTGATTATTCAGACCGAGATCACTCAGAATGCAAAAAACTAGATTTTGATGCAGATACACAAGTGTTTAGTGGTGTAAGACTACAAAGGCAGAAAGATGCCATGCTGAAGTTGCACACATGCTCAGTGGGCGTTGTTTGACTCCCAAGAATCCGAATGAGTGTACGTGGACGTCAACCAGATTGATGATCGGACAAAAACACCTCTCCCAATCGGAATGAAATTTCTTTCGGTTTGGACTGTATCAGATCAGAATATTCAGACTGACATGTTTACATGAAGAATTTTTGATCTAATAGGGCATTCATTCTGATTACTTGTGACCATTTAAACGTAGCTACTGTTTTAAAAAGCAACCGGTATTCTCCAAGTCACTTCCTGGTTGGCTTTGAAACACACATGGCCAAAACTTTTAAGAATTACACAAATATTGCCACAAAAAGAACCTGAGGCAACAAACTTGTGACAACAATTGAGTTGTACTCAAAACTTGGCCATGTGTGAGTTACTGTCTTTATTTTGACATTCTTTGCGTTTTCGGGGAGCAATTATTATCCATCTAGCTGGGTCTACTACTGCCTTGTATGTACACTGCTACGTAAGCTTGTATGTTGTGGAGACCTGTTTGATGTTAAAAAAACATGGTAAATGACCTGCACTGGATTAGCGTCTTTCTGTGTAAGAGGACTCGGTGCTTTACGCTACAGTTAGTGATTCACTTATGCACTTATTCACTCACACACAGTGATGAGCTGTGTAGTGACCACAGCTACTTGGCACATGCTGTAGCCATTTTTACAAAGCCATGCTGTCAATTTGCATCAGGAACACTTGGGTTGTTTATAAGTGGTCAGACAGTGGCGATAATGTGGAGCAATCGTGTCCTTTTTCAAAAAGATTACGTGATGGCAGCATAAAGTGGGTATGGGGGCAGTCTCTGCTGTGCCACAGACTTCCTTTATATTGGACATAACTTGTTTTTTATTGCAATTGAAGCCGTGATTGTTATGTTTTTTTTTAACTAGCCGCTCCTAAAGGTGTCTGTACCCATCAGTCCTCGTGCAGTTTCTGGTAATCTGAGCTTCAGCTGTTAATGGAGAGAAGCTCCTGGATCGTTGCAGTGCTCCAGGTTCCCGTCTCAGCTGATTTTCTTCAAAAAGCAAAACTTACTGCCTGTGTTTACTTTCATTTTTTTATCTATTTGCTGGCTAGAGCTCGGCAGAAACTCTTAACGTCATCATAACACCTCCCTCTGTTGCGCCATGGCATAATCGCTGTTTGAGACAGACAATTACCGCAATATTACTACCAAGCGAGGCAGAAAATGCCGCAAAATTTGCGGAACGCCATGGTGCATTTATAATATTACGCCGCTTTGCCGGCACAGTGTATCTGTAAAAAGGGCTTGACAGAAACGAGTATTCGCTTAAGATGAGATTGTTACTGTTAACATGTATATATATACATATGTTTACATATATATATATATATATATATATACATATGTATACATATATATTTACATATACATATGTATATATATATATATATATATATGTGTGTGTGTGTGTATTTATATATACATATATATAAATATACATATATATATGTATATTTATATATACATATGTATACATATATATTTACATATGCATATATATGTATATATATATATATATATATATATATATACATATGTATATATATATATATATATACATATGTATATGTAAATATATATATACATATGTATATATATATACATATGTATATGTAAATATATATGTATACATATGTACATATATATGTATACATATATATATATATATATATATATATATATATATATATATATATATATATATATATATATATATACACACACACACACACACATAAGGCTTCAGTTGCTAATTTTAATAATCCGATTTATTTTTCTTTAATGTCTCCACCTTTAAGACATACATACACCCAAGTATGTTTGATATCTCTCTTTAAAACACAAACTGTTCATTTTAAAATATAGACAAATGAAAGTAGTGCAGGTAACCCTGGGTCTGATAAAATTGTATAATTCTGAGCCAGAAGCACACTTTTTCCTACTATTTTTTATTTATTTATCTTGTTTTGTGTTCTGCAGTATAAAGTTGTTTTTTTTTTCATGTAAATATTTTTTCTGTTAGAATTATGTCCCATTTTTTTGTGCAATACTTATTTAAAAAAGTGCCTTCATATGTTCGCAATAATTTCTTAGGACCTTTGTTTAAATATTCCAACTGTTTAAAAATTGACGTTCAATTAAAAAAATCTTATTAGCAGTCCTTAACCTGATAACATTGGGTCAGATTTGACATTTAAAAAGTAATGGTTGACTGTAACAAAACCTTTTACATTTTCTTAGGCACACGAAATATTAAACATTATTAGCATGTATTACATTCATAATTTTATCATAATTATAAATGTATATATTAATATGTAGTCATAATTATATATACATTATTACACAGTATTTTGAAAGTAGCGAGCTAGAGATATTTCTAAATTCACTTCCACAAATATCATTACAAGCCACATTAAACATAGTGACTAACTTTATGATTATGTTAAAATCTTATCAGTTTTAAAATATTAAATAATATATATGCCTATTTTTTCCTCTGTAAAATGCAAATGAGAACTAACCAACCTGTCATTATACACATTTTTTAAAAAAAAATCCAAAAGACTAAATAAAATTAGCTAAATAATAGTTCATCGCTGTGGATTTAGTTCTTTAAGATCATCTATTGTCTGTGTGCATTAAGAATATTTACATAGACTCTCATTTAAAGACAAGTTAACTCACATTGCTTTTGAGGCCAATTCCTTATCAATGGGTTTAAAAATCTAACCACGCTTTATTTACTGTTCAGTAAATAAATAAGAATTCCAAAATGAACAGATATCATTTCAGTTGGAAGTTATTATTTTAGGTTTTACAAAAATTTATAATTCTTTATTTGGGTTTTAGAAAATGTTGCATTAAACCTTAATTACTTGGTTCCCCATTGAACCACTCAAAAGTGTCAGTATTTTAGAGTGCAAGCATTTAGATAGTGTGGTTTTATTGTCAACTGCCATTAATCAGGATTTAGCACACCAATGATAAAAGTTTTTAAAGAAGTTTAAATTGTAAAACGTAGGTAAATAGTTTGGGCATGCATACAATTTCTTAAGCCATCTAAAAGTATAAGGAAGATTTAAATGTAATAAATATGGTATTACTTTACACAGGAGTGTTTTAAAGCCTGTGCCATTTATTTAGGAAGAGGTGCAGGTGCTGTTTTTTAATACTTAGATCAGGCATGTCCACGGACAGCCTGGGGACAGCGGTTAGTGGGACCCCAATTGTTTTTTCTAGAATTAATTATTTTCCCCGTAGGTTATTTATATAGAGGGGTACTTTTAATGTACATATTTGTTCTAATATGTCTATTTTGAGGATACTTTTTTTAATTACCATAAAATATGTTTAGAAAAAATAAATCTACATTTTTTTGGCACACACGGACTTTTAATCCATGGATTTTGGCACTTGTCTTGAGGAATTTGGACACGCCTGGCTTAGAGAGCACCAAACAGATAAACGTGATAAGATGTGAGATAATCCAGGATCCTTGCTCCTTAGACTGGAAGTATAATTTTAGGAAGCCATCTCTCCTGTACCTTTAGAATGATCTTAAAGCTCTGAGTTCCTCCTCACCTGGTAGCTGTTGGCTTTGTTGTAGTGAATGTTGAGAGCTCTGAAAAGTTCTGATTCTCTATCTACAGTCAGATCCCTCACGTCCACCACTCCCTCCATGAGAGCATTCCGGGCAAACTTCTCCATCTGGATGTAGTAAAACTCCCGGAAGTTACTGAACCACTTGATGAGCTGGGAGGTGATGCAGCGTGTAAACTGTGACACACACACACACACACACACAGAGCAGGTAAGTTCACTGGAGAAATGTGAGAATTTTTAACTTAAGTCAGTGTTTTTTGTTTTATGTAAGCGCACTTAAACTTGTGCATATTTTGAAATTAAAATAAATGAATAAATCACATGATCATGTCTCGTTTTTTACATTTTCACATCGTTTAAAGTTTATTTCATGCACACAAACTCCTGTGTTGACAAGAGATGTGTTGGAAATGCAGTTTTCAGCACATTATCATCGTGTTGCTCATTTGAGTGTTTCCTCACCTGGACATCATGGAAGCACACCCTCAGCACCAGTGAGCTCGGGTAGCGGGTGTAGAAGAACATAAGCTTTGCTTTCTTCAGGTGGTTTGTGGTCAGACACTCCTGGAATGCATTAAGGATGACACACAAACACCGCCTGGATATAATCTGTGATTACGTTATTTAGATGTGTCGAAGACACTAGGACCTCGTTTGTGGGATCTAAAAGCAACTTTTCACGCTGCAGTAAGAAGAGCTGCTATTGCAGCCATAGAAGATGATTTAAAGGATACGTTCAGCACGTACGGGTTGTTTTTGTCCGGGTTGTCCGCTTCTAACTTCACTTGTGGCAAACACAGACTTTCCAGAAGCATCGGATCCATCTGTGTCGTGGAAGTCGGCGGACTTCTCACCGATCTGGAGTTGACCTTTGACTTTACTTTAACAGAATTCCACTGTGTGTCCAACTTGGACCGAGCAGCTTCTGAGCATCCGTCCTCCCAGCACCTAAGAGCACAATGATCCACGCTGTAGTTCTGCTCCGTTTGTTCTCTCCTTAGAACAGACTGGTGTTGGCCACGGATCTGAGTTTGTTGTTTGGGGAAACAAGGAGCTGCAGGACCAGGCTGAGGTACAAAGTTGTCGCGTTGTTCTAGGTCAGGCTTTTGGACCACCAGGGGAAGAGCTTCTGTTTGGATGTCTGGGACCTCTGCAGTCCCACAGCAAGAAAACCTGAACTTATCTTCACACACCGTTGACCGGAACGGTGTTTCAGTTTCTGAGTTCTCCACGTCACTTGATGATGTCTGTAAAAGCGGCGTGCTTTTGAAAATCGAATCGACGCTCCTGCTGACTGCTCTAGACAGTTCATACTTCAAAATATCTGCCATCAGCTTGATTCTGTCAGGTTTGGACTGGAAGTAGTTCATTCGCCTGACCTTCCATCCTTGACATTTTCTACCTGAGCTGCTTTCAAACTTGCTACAGGGATCATCAAACTCCGCATCTGGATAGGTTTCAGGAGTAGCTGTCCATACTGGGAATTCTTCTTCCTTGCTGCCGTTTGGGCTTTCACGTTCTCCCTCCATGTGACCGAACTTGGTCCTTGGTCTGCAGTGTTGATGCTGCTTTCTTGGCAGCTGGTTCTGACCCAAGCTTTCAGATCCACCTCTCTCCATGTGATCTGGATTTGCTTCATCCTTCACGTAGCTGGGCTCAAGTTTATTTGTCACATCTGTGCAAGAAATGCCCTTGATGATGTTTTCTACTCTTGCACGCTTGGCCTGATGGCCATTGTTTACATCCCATAAATGACGATTGTACGAGTCAGAGGGAGTTCTACGTAAATGGACAACGCCTCCTTTTCTGGATGGATTCGGCTCCATTTGACTTGAACGGAGCAAACTTGAACCAGCATTTTCAAAGCTGCAAAAGGACATTCCTTGTAGCCTGTTAACATTCTGACTGTCCTTGATTACAGCTGCAGAACAGCCCGATGCATCTAAACGTGTCGGTGAGGGGTCCGGCTGAACATCTGCAGCGCAGCTTTCAAAGCGGATACCGCTGGATGAATACACACCTTTGCTCCAGAGACTTTGAGCCATGGTTGAGATCTTTAAAAAGGTTTACTAATATTGAAATGATCCAGATAAAGATTAAAGTTACAACGTAACTTCATCTATCAGTTGTAGGAATAAGGAGCCGATGATCTCACCTGATGTCTGGAGCGAGGAACCACAGGTCCTGAAGCCTGCAGGAAGAAAGGATGCTTCTTTTATTTGAACCTGCTGAGGATCCAGGAGGTGTGGTCAAATATGACAACCTATCCCATCCCTGCCTGCCTACTTAATTAAAAATTAATTATCTTTAAATTAGCATAATAATTTCGATGGATGCATTTGCTCAAGGTGCTGCAGTTCTTTAAATGAAAAGTTTGAAAGAAGGGGAACAAATCATGTATAGACTTCTGCAAATAGTTCTGCTGTTTCAGAAAATGATTTCATTATGAAGTTGCTTTTATTTTGTTGGCAGCTTATATAAATTATATCAAAATTGTTCTGAGTGGACACATCCGTAAGGCAGTTTGGCCCCTCGACCCTCTTCCTAATGGCAGCAGCCCTGGACCGGTGTTGTGCTAAAAAAAGTACACCTAGTAGGAAGTGTTCATAAATTAATGAGAATTTCATATAACACTATCTACAGTTATTTAGCACAAGTCAACCCCCTCCCTCCTAATTCAACTCACTTTTTTGTGAACAAGCTGCTTTGAAAGCGCTTGCTACTACAGGGTACTTTTTCCAGCACAACACCTAACAGCGCGCGGCCGAGTCGGCTTCCGTCGTGGGCAAAAACAACACAGATGTCTTAAAAAAACAAGAGGTCCTCTGCTAGCGACATGCTGTCCGTCTCCGTGTGTGTGTGTGTGTGTGTGTGTGTGTGTGTGTGTGTGTGTGTGTGTGTGTGTGTGTGTGTGTGTGTGTGTGTGTGTGTGTGGCCAGCACACCGACAGCGTCTTAAAGACACTGAGCATGTTTCATTAGCTGCGATGAGTTCATGGACCGAGAAAAATGAGTTTTTGTTGGTTATCTTAAGAAACGCTTTATAAATCATCATTTCTTCTTTACTCTGTTCACGGTCCCCCAAAAATTCTAATTTTGAGTTTCATAGCTGCTGATAATTGGCCGATATTGATCCCTTTTATTAATTTGCACAGATGTCTCATTTGTATTAGTTGAGGACTAGACCTGTATCAGATGACTACCGCAACAAGGCTGCCTAATAAAATATGAAAGGGGGTTATTCTGTTTCTGTTAACTCCACCCTCCTCAGGCTTCCTGCATCTGCCAGTCTGACCACAAATGTCTCCGCAAAACAAACCATGGCTGAACTCTGAGAGCCCTGCATAAAACACACGTATGACTCACACACACATCTATGGTAAACTGGAAAAGTTTTTCTAACAGCAGAAAAGGTTTCATTTGGGTGAAGAAAAGGATCCAAATCTGAATTTCACCATGTGATAGTAAATTGAGTTGTTGCTCGTTAAGGTCTATAATGTGGGAACCCAACAAGTGAGTCTATTTCTGAGTGAATTAGAGGCCCTCGGCTGCTTTGTAGCAGCTTCCCTCTCAGCGATTTTAGCTTTCAAAGAAGCTGTTGAAGATTTAGCTGATTTACTTTTTTTATTCTTTTGTTCAGTCAATCCATCCGCAGCCAGAAACCAGGAACCTCTTTGATGATGCTTTCTTAAAGATTCACAACATCAAGCTTGGTTTTATGTCGGCTTTTATAAAAGCTGCTGCACACGCTCCGACCGATCAACCTGCAGTCAACCCTCACACGGTGCAGATGATCACAGATTCAACTGTTGCATGTTGCAGCTGCAGCAGTAAACATCTATTATTTGCTTTCAGCATACGTTTTTCTTCAATGTTATGAATGATTAGTCCAAAGAGATCCTCTACTGACACTAAGCAGATGTTAGCGTTTCATTATATTTATTAACCAACAGAAATGACAGCAGCTGAGTCATCCTGCGTCTGATGTGTGTATTCTGAGGCTTGCTCCACTGATGCGTAATGTTGATACTGTGAACTTCGAAACGTTAAACGTCTGAGTTTCTGTACTCAAACAAAAACGAGTGACATGTGAATTCCTCTAAAGTGGGTGATTGTGTAAAGCAGGAGTAAATCTGAACCTCAGATGAAACGAAACTTCTCAAATGATCTGGAACTGATCTGATCTTTCTGGTTCTCATTCTTTAAAATGTAAGCTTTTCCTTATGTCTGATAAACACAACAGTTGCAACCAAGATGTTAGGGCTCAGATTCATCACAGCAGTCAATAACTAGGGTGTTATCCACAGGCTTGTTGGATACCTGTTTATATTCTGAGAACAGTCTAAATGAAAACACAAGCCTAACAACCATCTCAATGATCGATCCTCTCTGAAACATTTCATCTTGTGCCAGATCTGTTTTCGGTCTCGGATTCTCGGCGACGGATGAGTTGTGCGCCAGGGGCGGGGATCTTCAAAGCCCCCATCGTCCACCCCACCGCTCAGCCCTTGAGAAGCTCCATACAATGGGATCATCTCTGACAAAGTCTTGAGGGTTGCTTGGCCTTTTCTCCCACTTCACAAGTGCGAGATGGAGTGCGTGCAGCTGCGTGCAACGCCTCTTCAGGGCTTCTGTTTACTTTAATAATCACAAGGGGGACAATGGCCCCAATGTGCGTCTTTGTTTCTCTGCCAGAGCCTACACAAATGTCTGAACAACTCTGTTTGGAGGAAAAACGCTGAATTCATTACCAGACAAAAATAATAATAAAACGTTAAATTACCATGAGAACATTGGAGGTTGTAATGGGCCTGAGCAGAGCAAACAATGACACGAGGGTTCCTTTCATTTAATTATTTACTTTTATGACCACTTAAGATTCCATTAGCGCTTTTGAGATCATGCTAATTGGCAGCCGTGTGCCAGTGAGTGCATAGATATCTGAAGGGTTTGCTGGCAGCCTTTTGTTTTTGTCTTCGAAATTTGGCGAAATCTGTGAATTTCCAATGGGACCGCTCAATAAGACGTGGGCTTCAAGTCTTTGTGTCCATTCAGATGAAAGATGGCCCATTAGAAATTGGCAGCTAGCTGTTTGTTTTCATTAGGCCACATCAGAGAGATAATTTACCTAAATTATTCTGGTTTGCGTTCCTTTTTCTTTCCCAAATAAGCTAATTAGATCAATGCCATGTTGTTAAGAATGGTGTTTTAGGTTAACTAAAAAAAAGAGAAATTTTAGGCTCAAACAGCTGATTTAAAGGTGCAATTTGTAAGAATAAGATAAGAATTTTACTGTGAAATAATCCCAAAAACGTCGAATGTCTCCATCATTTTGAAAGGAAGGTAACGACCGGAACACACTAGCTGTGAAGCGCCGCGACGTGGATCGCGCACGAAATTCATGCGCTGTCCGCTCCTCCCCTGTTCACATCAGGCGAGAATTTTCAACAAGCGCTTGTACTCACGCCTACTGTTGGCCAATGTAACATTTTCAGGTATAATGCTTCATGTCGACGTCTCCTTGGTTGTTTCCACTATAGCCACCTGACACAAACCAATTGCACTGCTGTAACACCTTTAGACAATAGTCCTGCATAAATAAACCCAAACATGAATATTTACCAGCATGCTGTTTCCTTTGCACACCATTTCATTCAGAACACCTAGCTCACATCTGGCCCTATTCTTCGTCCCTTGTCAGCTTTTTTGATCTGGATGCCAGCCCTCCCTTTTCGTCCGTCCCTTGTTCTGTTGTCATACCTGAAGATTGTCTGCATGGGACGGGGGAGAACGAGGCGCCTGGCTGCACTCATGGGTAACAGGGCTGAGGTGGATACAGCTGGTTGGTGTCAGAGGTTCAAGCGTGTATGTGAGACTGATTACTCACCTTGAGCGAAGGGTTGAAGTGGAGAAGGGACAACACAGGAAGCTGCTTTTGGAGACACCTGTCACTCAAGAACAATACCTGTGGATCTCTGCATTTGCATGAAAACATGAAAGGATGTTGCAGAGGGAGGCAAGTAAAACGGATCTGCTTGGTTTTGTTTTATCTATATTTAACAGAATAAAGCAACTGAGACACTATAAAATTGTTTAGGCTAAGCATGAACCAACCACACACACTCATTATATATATGTATGTATATCCATCCATCCATTGTCTGAACCCACTTTGTCCAGGTGAGGCTGGTGCCTGTCTCCAGCGGTCAGTGGGCAATCAGGCGGGGTACACCCTGGACAGAGAGCCAGTCCATCACAGGGCAATATATATATATATATGTATATATATATATATATATATATATATATATATATATATATATATATATATATATATATATATATATATGTATATATATATATATATATGTATATATATATATATATATATATGTATATGTATATATATATATATATATATGTATATGTATATGTATATATATGTATATATATATGTATATGTATATGTATATATATGTATATATATATGTATATATATATATATATATATATATATATATATATATATATGTATATATATATATATATATATATATATATATATATATATATATGTATATGTATATATGTATGTATATAAATAATTTTTTTTTAGGTTGCTGGGGCAGCAGACTAAGCAGAGAGGCCCAGACTTCCCTCTCCCCAGCCACTTGGGCCGGCTCCTCCAGGAGGATTATTACCCAGCAAGGCGTTCCCTGGTCAGCTGAGAAACACAGTCCCTCTAGCATGTCCTGGGTCTTCCTTTGGGTCTCCTGGTTGGATGTGCCCGGAAAACCTCATCAGGAAAGCGTCCTAATCAGGTGCCTGAGCCATGCACTGCTATACTGGCTCTTCTCAATGTGGAGGAGCAGCGGATCTACTCGGAGCCCCTCCCAGATGACCAAGCTTCTCATCCTATCTCTAAGGGAGATTCCAGACAGTCTGCGGAGAAAACTCATCTCGGCTGCTTGTATCCGTGATCTCGTTGTTTCGGTCACTACCCAAAGCTCATGACCATAGGTGAGGGTAGGAACGTAGATCGACCAGTAAATCGAGAACTTCACCTTCCAGCTCAGCTCTCTTCACCACGACAGACCAGTACAACGCCTGCATCACTGCAGACGCAGCACCAATCTGCCCATCGATCTCACGCTCCATCTTTCCCTCATTGGTGAACAAGATCCTGAGAGGCTTAAACTCCTCCACTTGGGCAGGACCTCAGCCC